GTTTGACTTCTTCCTTTCCTGTTTGAATTCCCTTGATCTCCTTTTGTTGTCTTATTACTATTGCTAAAACTTCAAGAACTATGTTGAAGAGATATGGAGAGAGTGGACAGCCTTGTCTTGTTCCTGATTTTAGTGGAATGGCTTTGAGTATCTCTCCATTTAATTTGATGTTAGCTGTTGGCTTGCTATATATTGCTTTTATTATATTTATGTATATTTTTTGTATCCCTGATCTCTCCAAGACCTTTATCATGAAAGGGTGTTAGATTTTGTCAAATGCTTTTTCAGCATCTAATGAAATGATCATATGGTTTTTTTTCTTTCAGTTTATTTGTATGACGGATTACATTGATAGATTTTCATATGTTGAACCAGTTCTACATCTCTGGGATGAAGCTGACTTGATCATGGTGGATGATTTTGTAGCGGCGTAAATGAATGCAGACAGATTGTAAAAATATATATAGTTTTAATGTAGAAATAGACTTACAGAACCACCGTTCCCGCGGAGACCAGGAAAGCAGAAGAGACAGCTCGGAGCACGCTCGCCAAATTTATAGGCAGACATTAGCCCGAGGCGAACACGCCCCCTAAGGGGCGGGACTTATCCCTACATGATTTTTTTTGATGTGCTCTTGGATTCGGTTTGCCAGTATTTTATTGAGTATTTTTGCATCCGTGTTCATAAGTGAGATTGGTCTGTGATTTTCTTTCTTGGTTGAGTCTTTGTATGGTTTTGGGATCAGGGTAACTGTAGCTTCATAAAAAGAGTTTGGCAATGACTCTTCTGTTTCTGTTATGTGGAACACTTTGAGGAGTATAGGTATTGCTCTTCTTGGAAGTTCTGGTAGAAATCTGTACTAAAACCATCCGGCCCTGGGTTTTTTTTTTTTTTTTGGTTGGAAGGTTTTTGAGGACAGTTTCTATTTCTTAGCAGCGTATAGGTCTATTTAAATTGCTCAATCAATTGGTCTTGATTTAATTTTGGTGTATGGTATCTATCTAAAAAACTGTCCATTTCTTTTATATTTTCCAATTTTGTGGAGCTTTGGTTAACTGCTTAGGAATTGTTTGAATGCCTGCCTGTACCCACTACCTATAGAAGGCCACTCACCTGTAACTCCCATACAGTTGCCAAATTATAGCAGTTCTCCATATTTAACATAATGCTTGTTTGTAGTAAAACTCATGCTTTTGCAAAATGCCATCCCTAATGTTAATATTCAAATGTGAATTTTGTTTTTTTTAATCCTCCTCAAGAATTGTTGTCATGTCCATGCCTTAAGAGTTACATATTGTTAAAACGTAATTCTTGGGTTGTTTTTTTGTTTTTTGTTCCCTGACTTATTTTCCTAGACTGATCCTGTTGGCAGCACTTATATATGGAACCAGAGCTTCAAGTTTTACATCCAGTCAAGGTCCACATCTCCTTCCACATCTAGTGAAGCTGAGCCAGTTAAGGTGCCTCCCTGGAGCAGCATTGCTCCGCAACTGTACATTTGTATTCAGGAAAGGGAATTGAAAATTTTAAGTGAAATCTGCCTGATTAAGTACATTGTGTAGTAAGTTAACAGTTCATTAGACATCATAACATCTTGATAAAACACAGAGAAATAGAAGATTACCACTCACATTCACCCACCTGAAAGAGGCAAAAATAGGTAGGTTGATAGGTAGGTAGGTAGGTAGGTAGATAGGTAGGTAACTAAAAATAGTCTATAGTTAGAGAAGTATGTAGATATATGCTTGTGTAAATATTATATTCAAAATTAATGGTATTATTGACAGTATTAGATACAAACTAAGCACATGGCATTGAAAGTGCCATTCTTGATTCATGTGTTTTAATTCTTCTAACAAGTTTAATAAGCTATGATATAACTAATTCATTGCATCCTAAACCCAGCTTTTAAATGAAATTGTTACTACTGTAACAACTGGACAACTGTGGCAGCGGGATAGTTTAGTTTAACTGCCCAATCAGCTATGGGTACTCACTCAACTAAAGCCTGCTTTTTAATAGTCAAAAATACAATGTTATGTTAATAATTCATGTCAGTAAAGTACTATAAGCAGCCCATTGGTCAGTTTTCTCCCTAAAGACCATTTGACATCCTAGTTGGAAGAATGTGCATTTAATTCATTTGTTATATATACCATATGGGCTTTAAGCCAAAGGTGTTAGGTAGTGGTCTCACCAGTCGCCACCACAAAGAATGACATGGATCTGGAACACATTTCTTTCCTTCTTTCCTTCTTTCCTTCTTTCTTTCTTTCTTTCTTTCTTTCATTTGCTTGTTTGTTTTGGGCAACCAACTGTGATTTAGAGCTTTGCAAAATAACGGTAACAATAATTCTTGTAGTGCGATGAAATGCCCCGCTCTCACACTGTAATACCCTTCTGTTGTGGGGTACTTACATTGCTTCCAGCTCTTCATTGCCGAAATTAGTCCTGAGGGGATCTTAGTATTTTTGCTTTTGCAGATGGGCAGTTTGGGTGCAAACTGGTTGTATGTTATATATATTTCAAACTTGAACTAGATCTTCCCAAATGTTTTTCACAGGGCTTGGGTCCATTTTCATCCTCCCCCACCGCCACAGCAGCATGTGAGAGTTCCCATGTCTCCACATCCCTATCAGCCCTTGGTGCAATCAGATACTAACTTTTGCCAGTTGGAAGAGTGTGAAGCAGCATTTTTGTTAACTTAGGTTTCTCCCTTTTCTGAATATATTTAGCATCTTTTTCTATGTTCATTGGCTGCTAATGATTTGCCTGTTGATGTCTTTTTGTTCCATTAATTTTCCTGTTGTTTTGGTTTTTGTTATTTTTAAGTCTGGGTATGAGTTCTTTGCTATGTATTATTGGTTGTAAGCATTTTCTTCCAGTCAGAGGATAATTTTTAAATTTTGTGTTAATTTTGTTTTTCAAAACTCTTGACCAGCTTACCAGTCTTTTCCTGTACAACTTCTGCTTTTGTGGTTTTTAAAGTAGTTTTTCTTTATGAAAATACTATTTTTCTTCCTTATTTTCTTCTAAAGTTTAAAATTGCATTTTTATGTATTTAAGACTTTAATCAAATTGAAATTGATTGCTATGTGGTGTGGTAAATAGAATTCCAATATTTTCTCTCCATATAAACCCTTGAGTCTCCTATATTTCACTCCTCTGCAGTACTGTCTGCACTTTGGTGTGTGGGTCTGTTGTGGGTGTTTCTGTCCTTTTGCTTATTCTTGCGCTGATTCTATGTTTCTTAATCACTGTAGCCCTAAACAGTTTTTGGGTGCTGCTCATAGCCACCGTGTTCTTTTTCTTGTTGACCCTTTAGTTTGGCATACTATTTTAGTGTTGGTGTGCCAAATTCCATGTGAGGCTTTTAATCGGAATTACATTGACTTTCTAGATTGACATGAGGAAAGGTGGCATCTTCACAGTATCATCCCTTCCTAGGGTACTTCCACCTCTCTGAGCATGGTGTGCACAATAGTTACTTCTCTCCATTCTTCAGCAGAGTTCATTGCTTTCAGTGTGTTCCATGTGACTTGTTGGTTTGTCCTGGTGCCCTGAATTTTGTGTTGCTGTGTGAGTGAAATCCAGTTAAATGCAGTTTTAATTAGATACTGTTGATCTTTTATTCAGCACATTTGTTTGAGTCTTTAATTTTAATAACTTCTCTGGGACTTTCTGTAGAACGCTAATGACCATTTATTTACTATTGTGTTTTGTTATCTTTTGCATAGATTTTTTTTCAGCATTCCTCTTATTTGTTATATTTATCTTCTCAAATCTTAAATTATAGGTTGGGCTAAATGTTTTTTTTTCAAGCTATTCAAAAGTAAACAAAATTTAAATTGAATATAAACTTACAATTCACAAAAAAAGCCGACACAGTCAAATTCTACACCAGGATTAGAGTTTATAGATGATTAGTTTTAGAGGTTATGGTTACAAGCAACTTTCTTGTAATATTTTAATACTCTGTGACTTTATGCAAGGCTCAACTTGTTTTCCATGTGTGCTTGCTTTGCATCCTAAAAAGAAATTACTGTCTTTTGTTGTTTTTTGTTTTTTACTTTGCTGATTAAGCAATGTACCCTCCTCCCCCACAATAACATCCAATAAAATCACTGGCTCTTTTTATTCAAAGAAACATATAATACTTGATAAAGTAGACTTCATTTTACTTACAGTAGAGATATGACTTATAACTAAATTTGAATTTAATTCATAATGCCAATAATAATATATAATTTTAACTCCTTTATTTAAAATTAATTTCTGTGTATAAATCCCACTAATCTCCATATATTCAGATCTATGTAATTATATTCCATATACATAATATATTCTAAATGTGGAAATCATGTAGTTAGAAAGAATCTTCTCGGACTGATGATATGGCTCAGCAAGTACAGCCCTTGTTGGACAAACCTGAGCTTCATCTCTAGAGCCCACAAAAAGTTAAAAGCAGAGAAGTGGCATCACAGAGTTGTCCTCTGACAATTTATGCATTCATCTGCCTCACACATATACATGGTTACACACACACATGCACACGCACGAATTCAAGTACAGTAAAAAGTTGTTTAAAAATTAATCTTGTGTGTATGTTATTAATTCATATCATAAATCTTTCTTAAATATTCAGTTACTTTGAAGAATCAATGTGACAAAATTTGAACAAATGTGAAAATATCTTCATTTTTGTGTAAATTACATGCTGTTATTTTTGTTTTCTCTGGATTTTATTTTCTAATTTATTTCTTTTTAAATTTAAATTTCCAAATCAAAATTATTATAATTAAAAATAACTCATTTGTAAATATTGTGAGCTCGGATTGAAGTACAGTTCTGGAAAAACTTGAACCTCAGGGAGCTGAGGCACTGTCTCCTTAGCATTGTTGAAATGTTGTTGGTTTATTTGCTGTGGTCTCTTTCTAGTTGTTTCCTAAATAAAGTGAGTTTTTCACGACATTCGTTTCCTCTTTTGCCTGGGATTCAGATTGCAGACTGTGCTCCACTTCCAGTTCACACACCAACCTTAAGGAAAAAGGGATGCCCTGCTTCAACTGGCTTTCCACCTAAGGTATTTGCTCTAAACATACTGTGTTCTAAAACATAAGAGTGGATTTCTTCTACTTTGGATATTTGCTATGAGTTTTGTTGCTGATTTCCTCAAAGCTATAAAATAAAAAACTTAGGAAGAAAATAAATTTAATAATAAATGTAAATACCATTCTGAATATTGGAAGGAGTATACAATATATTTAATTCTTAAATTCTGTGTTTCATAGCCTATTAGAGGAACTCCTATTTTGTCACCTGATAAAAGCATTAAGTTGAAGCTCTCTTCAAAGAATATGAGCCTGAGTTTCATCAAACAGCAAAAGTACCCCATCCTACTATGACCAGGGCACTGTGTATGGGAAGACATGAAGACTGAGCTCCTTGTTTAAGCCTATGAAAAGAAAGAACATAAACTATGAATAATCACAAATGAATGTGAGCAATGGCTCTGAAAACTAATTTTAAAAAGTATGAAGAGAGCTGGGTGGTGGTGGCACATATCTTTAATCCCAGTACTTGGGAGGCAGAGGCAGGTGATCTCTGAATTTGAGGCCAGCTTACAAAACAAGTTCCAGGATCGCCAGGGCTATACAGAAAAACATTGTTTTGAAAAACAAAAACGTGCTAAAAATGAATAACCACAAACCATTACATATTGAGACAAGACAGAATATGAATTTAAAATGAATATAATAAATATCTTCACAAAGATGGGTAATGTCAGACAGGATAAAACAGTGATAAGAAAAAATAACCTAGAAGAACTTGACAAAAGAATTTAGTTGCTGAGATCTATAAAGAGCTTTAATAACAGAGTGAGAAGAATAGATATAATAGAAAAAAAGTCAGTTAGAAAATGAGATGAAAAATTTGAAAGTTAAGGTATATGACAGGAATGGTGTCAACATTTACATAATATAGTGTGACTTTCTGTAAGAAAAACATGGAATTAAAGAAATAGGAGAGGGTCTAGAATGATGGCTCTATAGTTAAGAGCACTCACTGTTCTCCAGAGGACCAGAGTTCCTTTCTCAGCACCTATATCAGGCAGCTCACAGCTGCCTCTAACTCCATCTCTAGGGGATCTGATGCCCTCTTTTGACCTCAAGGGCATCTTTGTACACTTGGCATATACAGTGACTCACAATTTTGAAGAAATAATGACCTAAAATTTCTTCAAATTAGAGATGAAAAGCTTCAGTAAAGGATGCAAGAAAACACTTAAGACATATTCAAAATGTTTAAATAAAAGAGATGGGCTTATTTAAATGATAGGAACTTAAATAACCAATTGGAGATGGAAAAGTTCAGAAATGAAGATGTCAGGCTTGAGCTATGACCCCTCTGGTGAAGGTGCTGGTTGTGCAACCTGATTACGCAAGCTACCCCCAGAACCCATGTGAAGAGCCAGGTACCATGGTGCACATCTGTAACTTTAGGACCGGCAGACTGGAAGGTCTCCTGGGAGCTCAAGCGCCAGCTAACCTGGAGTACACAGTGTAGCAGCAGAGACAGCAGGACATGCTGCCTCAGCAGAGTTCAAGAAAAGAACTGACTCGTGAAAGCTGTCCTCTGACCTCCACAAGTCCTGTGGCACCTGCATACATACGCCCTGCCCCCAAAATAATAATAATGATGATAGTATCTTTAAAGATGCAAGATAAAGGAAGACTTGAGGTAATAGATGAAAGAATCCCAAAGAAAGCTGGAATTAAAGGGAGATATTTCAGATATATAAAGTAAACTCAAAGATCAGACAATGACTTAAAGATGAAAAAGAATCTCATTTCTGTCAGTCAACTAAGGAAAGAAGGAGGAAAGACTCAAGTACAAAAATGGCCAACAGATTAGAATAAAAGAGCCAATATTTGTAAAATAAGAGTCACTGACAAAAGCTATCAGAAATGCTAGAAGTTATTTTCAAGAAAGACTCTGAAAGTACAAGATGTGCAGCGTGCTTGAGGTTTGTCTGGTACGTGAGAAGTGCCTGCAGTTCCATGTGGACGTGCAATGAGAGCTGGAAGGATTAACTCTTCCATCAATTATTTTGCAGCGCAAGACTCATCAATTTTTCGTGAAGTCTTTCACTGCCCCTACGAAGTGCCATCAGTGCACCTCCTTGATGGTTGGTTTGATAAGACAGGGCTGTGCCTGTGAAGGTAAGAACAACAGGAAAGAAAAGGTGACTTCTTGGCTTTATAACAGTACTGTTGCCAACTGGCTGTCCAGGCTCTAAGCAGACAAATGAGTTTGAATGCCATCACAGCTGCTGTCACCTCTGTGACTCTGAACAAGTAGTGTAGAACAGAGATGCTAGAAAATGCTCGGTAGAGTTAGCTCTTATCCTCTCTGGTAGTGAAAACGTGGAGAATACAACTCCATGCATTTCTTTACACCTTCATAGTCATTGAAACACTTGTTTCCAAACAGTCAGTAAAAGTTGCCAGATACAGGGCCTGGAGAAATGGCTTAGGGAATAAGGTGCTTACCACCCAAGCATAAGGGCTAGAGTTTGGGTCTCCAGCACACATGCCAGGTTGCCCAACTGTAATCCCAGACTCAGGAGGTAGAAAGGAGATCTTGAGGGTGCTGGCATGCTGGACCAGCTGAAGGGTTGTTGAGCTCCAGATTCAGTGAGAAACCTGGCCTCAGAAAATGAGGTGGGGGTGACAGATGGAGGTAGATACCTGACATCAGCCTTGGGCTTCACATCCTCATATACATGTGAACATGTACTCATACACAGGCAAACACATAAGCATGCGTGAATAACACACACAAATTAATCAATTCAACGTTGCTGATAGACACATCAAGTAGCTGAGTGTTCATTAGTAACTCTGCAAGAGAATTTCAGGGCTGATGATGAGTTGCATTGAATAAAGAGCTAAAAAAACTGTTCAGAGACCACTTTGGTAGGAATTACAAGTTTAAATCAGCCATGTTATTTACAAGGTTTGGATTTTTTTGTTTGTTGTTCTATCTTACTCATTTGCTTCTCAATTTTATTACTAATATTAAAGAGAATAATAATATAAATAATAAAAAGCATTTACTACTTCTCAATGAATTTCTGACTGACAGGCAACTGAATCTATTTCCCTAGTGATAAAAAAGTTGTTTAAAATAAAATAGAAAATCGGCATTCATCTAACTAGCACCATGGATGCAATTAGTGCCCAGTGAATTTTGTTGTTGTTGTTGTTGTTAATCTAAATTGTGTCTTTTTCCCTCCAAAAGTGTGTGGGTTCTCGTGTCATATAACGTGTGTGAACAAAGCTCCAACCGCTTGTCCGGTTCCTCCTGAGCAGACTAAAGGTCCACTTGGTATAGACCCACAGAAGGGAGTAGGAACAGCATATGAGGGCCATGTCAGGGTGAGTACCTCTGCTTAGTTACTCAGTAAGCACAACTTGACAGAAAATTCAGTGAATCAAACTCATTTAAATAATATTTTATCTAGAGTCATAATTACTTGGAAATAAATTCTAAAGTATCACAGAGTTTTCTGTACTCTCTGTATTTTGAGATTTACGAATGTCAAAATCACCATAATGGAGCCTTGGACCTCTGGTATTGCCTGAGAGGTAGACTGTGGTTGAGGTGTTAGGAAATATTAAGACATAAGCTTACCATCCTAGGTACAGTTCCAGTGGGAAGTGAATGCCATTTTCCTCTTACAACCAAATTTACTATTTATGCTATCTCTCTAAAAAAAAAAAAGCTGAGTAAATTTTATTTTAGAGTTGTCAGTCTGAAATGGTCAGGCCCTGGATGGTCTGACGAGTGTGTTCTCACTGTCCCCTTTAGTGGCACTGTGTCCCACTTGCTGCCTTACCAGCTAGAAAGCAGACCTAGAGCAGGACAGGGGCTCGTGCTGTCATTTTTATTTGAGTTGTCTTTGTTTGTTTGTCTGACTAAAACAAAACCAAGATCCCTAAGCCAGCTGGAGTGAAGAAAGGGTGGCAGAGAGCATTGGCTGTAGTCTGTGACTTCAAACTATTTCTCTACGATATTGCGGAAGGAAAAGCATCTCAGCCCAGCTCTGTCATTAGTCAAGTGATTGACATGAGGTAAGCCCCGAGGGATGAAGATGTGTGTCATTGCAGCATAGGAAGTAGTTTATGGTCTTTCTTTTATGTTACTATGCTTCGTATTAAATAGCCTCATTTGGGGTCAATTTTTGGATTTAGTCCTGTAGCTCCTGTGAAAAAGTAGGGAGGTAGGGGTGGTTCTAGGGCAAGTCGGTCTAGGTGTTGAGTGTGTGGTGCTAAAAGCCAAAGTTTGACTCTAAAAGACCAATTTAAAGATTATGACATAAGAATCCTAAATACATGCTCACCTGTCATCATCTAGAAGTGCAAAGTTATTCTGTGAAAATAAAGGACATAACATCTCACACCAGCCCCAGAATCTGTATGTCTAGCTCCCTTGTCCAGACTCTTCTTGAGTACCCTCCTCCTCCTTTTCTAGGAGCTCCAGGCACTGTGCTGGGAGATTTTATTTTCTCCTACAGCTTCAGCCATTACTCCTGATTGATGTATCCTACGCATGCCTCTAATTCAGACACACCCATTGCTCAAAATGCACATCTCCAGCTATGCCTATTGGTGCCTGAAACACAGTGAAATATGGAAGGATTGGTACAGGGAATATCAGCAGGAGAGATTTGGCAGACCGGCTAGTGGACTGAATGTAAAGATGGGGGGAGGGGGGTGCTAGGCAGAAGAGAGCTCCTTAGCCCACATTAAGGTTAAGGATAACACGAACAACAGCAAAACCATCTGTTAAAACAAGGATAAGACAGTCGGGCGGTAGTGGTGCACGCCTTTAATCCCAGCACTCGGGAGGCAGAGGCAGGCGGATCTCTGTGAGTTTAAGATCAGCCTGATCTACAAGAGCTAGTTCCAGGACAGGCCTCAAAGCTACAGAGAAACCTTGTCTTGAAAAACATAAATGAATGAATGAATGAATGAATGAATGAACGAACAAACCTAAATAAATAAATAAAAGCCAAGATGACAACAGGTCAAGGATAAATCATTGTTTTAGGTGCTGAAGTCACAGTGTCAGATGAACTTGATTGAGGTCATTTGAGATTTATTATGACAGGTATGAGAGTCCATTGGGGACTCTGGAGACTAAAAACCCCTTCTGCCAGTGTGCCTTGTGTGTCTGCATGAGTCAGCAGTTATGTCTAGTGTAAAGTGCCAGGTTGCTCCTGATGGATTATTACCTTGAGTACTGTCAGTCACTAGTGGGGAAGTCTTGTGTTTTGTTTCGTTTTAAATTGAGCTTGGGTGTTTATACAGTTATGCTTTGAGGATTGCTTCATGTATGTTATTTGGGCATGTAAGCAAAACCATACACAGGCAACATGTAATAACCCTAACTAAATGTTTAACTTCTATTTCAGAGATGAAGAATTTTCTGTGAGTTCAGTCTTGGCTTCTGATGTTATTCACGCAAGTCGAAAAGATATTCCCTGTATATTTAGAGTAAGTCTGTGTATGACTTGAGCACTTAATTACTTAGAGTTTTTGCATATATATTGTGTATGATGTGCATATATGTTTGTGTGCACATGCTTGTAAAGGCCAGAAACTGATGTCAGATATCTTCCTTGATTGCTTTCCTCTTTACATACTGAGACAGTCTCACTGAACCTGCAGCTCACAGCTATAGCTAGTTAGCTAGCTTGCTTGCCCCAGCAATCCCTGTCTCTACCTCTGGAGTGCTGGAATAACAGACAAACCTACCTGACTTAAACCTGGCTTCTGGGGATCCAAACTCTGACCCTCCAGGTTTGTGCAGCAAGTGCTTTATCCACAGAGCCAGCACCTAGTTACTTGTTTTTAATGAGTATGTTTTACTACTACGTATAAACCATAGAGTTACTGGACAAGACCCAGACCGAGTACTCCACTATTTACATGAATACAAGATTATGCTAAGACTTGTAGAATGTATAAATATGCTTTTAAAATATGCTTCATGTTCTTCATTTGTGAATCCCAGTTCAATCTTCAAAATATTACCACATGAGGTTTCTCAACTTAAAAACAAAAGCGTTTGTCTCTGTAAAACTCTTATTTTTAAAATTGTGTTTCAGTTGTCTATTCCTTTATAACAAATACTCCAAAACTTTAGTAGGAGCATTTTCCACTGTCTACAATATTGGCTGATGTTCCTCTTGTGATTGCAACCAGGTTATTTGGGACAGGAACATCCAAAATAATGTTTTCTTCACATCTGTGACTTTGATTCTGGCTATCAGCTGGCCAATGTCAATTCTCCTCTTTATGTTCATTGTCTCTCTATATATGTATATGTCTTGATCTGTTTATCTCTCATTATTGCATACAGATAATTGCCGGTAGCTGTCTTGATGAAGTAAACAGCACACTTTTGTAAAGCTGTTCTATTCTATCTGTCCTTCCTATTTGTCTATGAATCTTATATGTAAGAAAGTTCAAAGATTTAAATGTAGTCTCTCACTTTCAAGGCCACCAACTGTTTATTCTCCCCTGGCTCCCAAGGGAGTCTGTTAAGGCTCCCTTACCTGTAGCTAATTTGCAGTAGGATTTTATTGTTACATAATTGAAAAGTGCTCTGACTTACAAACTTTTATTTACTTCCTGTTTCAAGTGATCTAACCTTCTCCGATGATAACATGAAGGATTGCTAGGAAGTACAAGAAACTTTCAGAACAGAATGATATATGTTTATGAGCATAGAAGCATGCTTAACTTCATGCCCTTGATAAGTTACTTACTTTCTCTTTACCATGGAGTCTCAAATATAAAATTAGTATATAATCATAGCTCCTGTCTCACGAAGCTATTAAGAGGGCTAAGTGAGGTAATGCTGGCAAAGTGTTTTTCTCCATGATACTTGATAATTTTAAGTGTCACTTGCTAAATCAGTGTGTACAATGCATTTTTATGACATTTTGTAACACAGAGCATGAAGTGATAGTAACATTTTGATTTGTATCATCTCCTACTGCTGGAATTAAACATTCCAGTGAGATACTCGAATTCAGCATAGCTAAAGTTTGCTAAAGGGATAATTTAATAAATGCTCATTTTACTGTGAGTGCTAAACAAATGAGCAGAACCCTGCGGCTAGCATAGAAGATGTCTGTTTTCTAATATTGTGAATATTAAATTGTTTTAGGTCACAGCTTCCCAGCTCTCAGCACCTAGTAACAAATGTTCCATCCTGCTGCTTGCCGACAGTGAGAATGAGAAGAGTAAGTGGGTGGGAGTCCTGAGTGAACTACACAAGATTTTGAAGAAAAACAAATTCAGAGACCGCTCTGTGTATGTTCCCAAAGAGGCCTATGACAGCACCCTACCCCTCATTAAAACAACGCAGGCAGCTGCAATCATAGGTATGCACTTATAGCAGTCATCATAGTCCCATAACTGTTTATTAATCTATATATTGAGTTGGCCCCACTGTTTACAAGGTGTCTGGCATGTGTCAAATGTGTGTGGGTGAATGAGACCTGTGTCAGATCTGTGTTTTAGCCCTCCTAGGAGTAGACGTGCATTGTCTTCTTAAAGAGCACTAGTGCTAAAAGCCAACCTGGTAACTTTTTTCTACTTTTGTGAATTGAAACAAGTTAATTCAGAGTGTGGGTTTCACGTGAAATATGTGTTCTTGAGGAGATTTGAAGTCATAGACTATAGAGCATGTCACCAGCAAACAGCAACTTCTGTTTACTTTTTTGTTTACCTTTTTGTACATTTGTTATATGCGTGTTCCACTTCTGTTGCTGTCCAGTAAATATGAGAAGTTTAGTGAGCAGGATTAAGCTGCCTTTCACAGTGTTTCTAGAATGGTCAATGTCTATGATACTCAAACTGGGTTTTTAGTTTTCTCATTATTGAATAAGTATTTCCTTCCTTTGATACTAAAGCAGACTTTTAGCTGATTGTTCTGTTTTAAAAGACATGACATATTTATACTGCACTCTGAAGGGAAAGATAAATTGTATTTTGATTTTGTTATTTAACTTTATTCTAACACCAAATTTTTTCATTATCTGGTATATTCTGTTATCCTGACATTTTTATCTGATTAAAAAGTTTTATGCTTGTGTTTTAAATAGATCATGAAAGGATAGCTTTGGGAAATGAAGAAGGATTATTTGTTGTGCATGTCACCAAAGATGGTAAGAGAAAACCCAGTTATTCTGAAATAATTTTAAATTATATATTAGAAAACTCTTGAACCTAAATTCTAAGAGCAGGATTGTGTTACTAAAATTTTCCAGATATAATTTTATATGTTTTGAATTTCAACGGGTTTTTTTTTTCTTTTTCTTTTTGGTTTTTTAAGACAGAATTTCAATGTATAACTCTTGCTATCCTAGAACTTCAGTATGTAGACCAGGCTGGCTGAACTCACAGATCTGCCTGCTTTATTCTAGGAATAAAGGCATGTGCCACTACACCCAACTTTAACTCAAAAGGTTTTCAATTCTATTATCCCTAAAGCTCTGTGTATTGCCCCTCTCCTGTTTTACTGAACAGTTCCACTCATGTGTAAAGATTGCACATAAAAGACAAAGTCACTTTTCTCATTCTTAATAGTGCTTTAAGGAGAAATGTCTAAAGTTCCCCATGGTTCAGTGCAACAGGTTTTTAGCCCCCTAGAGGGAAATAAAGTGCTGAGTGAAATAAAGCAAAACCGATTGAATTTGCTTTTCATAAACATAGCATTATAAGTTATGTCTTTATATTAGGTTAGATCCTGAGCAAACAGGTCAGTCACTAAGCTTGATGAGTTTGTTGCCCATAGGAATACCTTGAGAAGTGTTAGGAAGATGCTCCAGTTGGTAAGTGCTTGCCATATAGCACTGTATCCCAGAACTCACATAAAAAGCCAGACATGGTAGTGTATGTTTATGATCACAACACTGGGAATGTAAAGGAAGATGGACTGATAGTAACTGGCTTGCCAGCCTAGCCTAGGGAAGGAAAAGACAGATGGACTGGTAATCACTGGCTAGCCAGCCTAGCCTGCTTAGCAAATCCCAGGTCCCAGTAAGAGACCTTGATTTAGCAAACAAAGGTGGGCGTGGCAAGATGACTGGCAGATAAAGGTGCCATACATGCCTGGTGATCTGTGTTTGATCCCTGGAACCCACATAAAGGTGGAAGAAGAAAACTGACTCCACAAAGTTGCCCTCTGAACACCACACCCATGCTGTGGCATGCACCCACACACATACACAATTTTAAATTTTTTAATTAAAAAAAAAAACGAAAACTGAAGGCAGAAAGCTCCTGAGAAAGAACACCTGAGGCTGATGTCTGATGTACATGCTTGTGCATGCATACATGGCCACACGTACACACAAACACCTAAAGAGATGGAACTAGAGAGATGGTTCAGCGACCCTGTCTGCTCCTGCAGAGGACCCAGTGGTTCAGTTCCCAGCTCTTACGTGATAGCCTACACCATCTGTAACTTATATTCTAGGGTATCCAATGCCTTTTTCTGGCTTCCATGGACACAGGCATGCAAGTGATGCACAGACATATATGTAGGCAAATACCCACATACATAAAATAAAATTTTAAAAAGAAATACCTAAAGAGGAACATGAGTTGCAGTCACTTGGATCTTAAAAATAGGAACCCCATGGTGAAGTTGCTAGAATTTAGTACCAATAAACAAACTTTGTGAAGTATAGGCATGCTTTACACAGGACTTCTTTGCCTTGACTTGGAAGATCCCAGTGCTGAAATCAATACCAACTATCAGCTATTGGTAGGTTAAATGATCTGATAATGGGTTCAGTTATCCTCCTTTTTTCTTCTGTGATTTCTGCTCTTAGATACTTTTGTGTGTATGTATCTTTAATATGGATTGGGTTATATACTTTGGTGTTTAATTTAGATATAATTAATAAACTCGTTTTGCATTTAATGTTGTTGTTTCTTCTTGTAGAGATTATTAGAGTTGGTGACAATAAGAAAATTCATCAGATTGAACTCATTCCAAGTGATCAGCTTGTTGCAGTGATCTCAGGCCGAAATCGCCATGTCCGACTTTTTCCTATGTCAGCTTTGGATGGACGAGAGACAGATTTTTATAAGCTGGCAGAAACTAAAGGGTGTCAAACCATAACTGCTGGGAAAGTGCGCCATGGAGCCCTGTCCTGCCTGTGTGTGGCTATGAAAAGACAGGTCCTCTGCTATGAGCTGTTCCAGAGCAAGACCCGACACAGGAAATTTAAGGAAATTCAAGTCCCAAGTAATGTCCAGTGGATGGCCATCTTCAATGAGCAACTCTGTGTAGGGTTCCAGTCAGGATTTCTCAGATACCCCCTGAATGGAGAAGGAAGTCCATGCAATATGCTCCATTCAAATGACCACACACTATCATTCATTGCACATCAACCAATGGATGCTATCTGTGCAGTTGAGATATCCAACAAAGAGTATTTGCTGTGTTTTAACAGCATTGGGATATACACGGACTGCCAGGGCCGAAGATCTAGACAACAAGAATTGATGTGGCCAGCAAATCCTTCCTCTTGTTGTAAGATTCTCTTTCTTGTCTATCTTTGTCCCTTTTTGCCTTTTCACTTACTTTAAATATAATCATTTTTGCTAACAACTTGTTTTTTTAATCATTTTTAAGGTCTCCCCCAAGTACTAATTATGTTGCTAAAGTAAAATAACCATATATTGTAAAACCTAGACAAACAGTGAAAATTAAATGCTTGTAAGTAAGATTAATATTTCTATGGAAAACTTACTGAGATACATTTTTTAACTATATGTTGTTGTGTTTAAAAATAATCCCAATCGTTTTTTTCATTGTCACCCTAAATATAGTATCCTTAAGAAGCAGTAGCTCATAAGACTTATGCTGGGGAAGTTACTAAGTCATTGTTTAACATGTTCTTGGAAGATATAAAGTGACCTTTATAAGAAGTATTACTTCATTTTATATTTTATAGGTATATATATATATATATTGATTTAAATTTACTTATTTCACTCTTTTCTTAAATATTAAAATATTAATATTTCATTCAATACTTTATCAGTGAATAATAATCACTGTTGAGTACATATTTTACTATATGAGATGAAGTCATGAGTGAAATCGATGGAATGCTGTCTGCCTCACAAAGTAGGGAAGATTCCTGGGAGTAAGTGGTTAGATAGGATGCTGTTACAAGTGTTCGGGGAGAGAATGTCTGATCCAGATTGCTTTGTTTGGAATGGAAGCCTCTTAAGCCTGCTTAAATGTGAAGAGGAAAAAGCCATTAGAGAATCGGTAGGAAAAGGTGGACTGTTTGGGAAATACAGACAGTAGAATAAGATGTCCCAAAACGACCCAAAGAGCGTGGAATTCTGCAGTCCAGTAAAACAATTACTGGGGCAGGAGCCAAGAACCTCTCCCTTGCAGCAGGAAGGATGGAGGGCAGGGCAGTCCAGGTGAGTTAGGTGAAAGAGTGTGTCTCAGGATAGTTGCGTTCTTATGACAGAAAAATGATCAAAAGTCTCTAACCTACCCAGATTTAACTATTTATAGTGTTTTATTTCTTCTTAAATGAATGTTGTTTTCAGTGACATATGGGTAAATGAATGCTGTTTCATAACTGAGCCAGCTACTCCTGATTGTTCTAATGTGAAGTCAGGCTAATACGTTTCTAGTCATAACTGTAGTTTGAGTCAATCGCTTACTTTTTGCTTATGTTGCCATTCCTTCCACAAGTGTGGACTGTTCCTGTCACACCGCTGCCAGTCACAGTGCCTGTAGCAGAACACATGTCATGCCTGTTTTACTTTACCGCTCTAGACCAGAACACTTAGGTGAAATTTTCTGTACTTTGTGTGTTTCACTGTCAACAGTTTAACTTTAAAAGTCCAATACTTTAAAATGCCATGAAATTTCTCATAAGACAAGGTGTGTTCATTGATTCCTTCTGTATTGGGCTTATAATCTGAGCTTTGGCATATCAGTTCTCATTCATGCTTTATGTCCTGCTTACTTCAAAACATTTATAACATCATTCTTATGTATAATAACTGTTGGGTTTTGAAACGATTCCACTCTACAGTTGCTTAGGATAGACCTTTCAAAGTGTTTGGGTCTTAATAATTCTCAATAATCAGCAGGTTGTACCTTCCTTCCTCCCCCCAGGTTACAATGCACCTTATCTCTCCGTTTATAGTGAAAATGCAGTTGATGTCTTTGATGTAAACTCCATGGAATGGATACAAACTCTTCCTCTCAAAAAGGTAATGGAACACTTAAATGTGGGCCAAGTTGGTTAATTTTTTTATTGCAGATATTCATTGTGCATAGTACTGTGTTACATAAGGACATTTTCAAGAGTGTGCATATTGTACATTAAGCATACTATCTCTGAGCCCCACTACTCTCTCTTTTATTCCCCCTCCCTCTCTTGTGGGGGTCTCTACAACCACCAAGGAGTATCAATCTTTGTAAGACAAGAAGTCAGTTCAACACACTCAGTAGCCAGTGTTGGTTCAAACTTTGAGAATCTGACATTGGGCAGTTTATTTTAGGAATATTTAAATACAGCACAATTTAGAAAAAAAGTTTCTTGTTGATAAATAACTAGTCCCATGTGTACAATAAAGCTTAAGGTATGACTATGTTGAAATTTTTTGTAAAGTACATGTGATGTCTTCCATAAAGATGGGCACTATAGACTAACCACATGTGACAAATTAAGAGTCTGAGGTGTAGATGCAGTCTTGGTCATACATATCACAAAGGTTACCAGGCTATTAACCACATCCACTCCCAGCCTTCTGGGTGGAAAACAGGTTATATACATCTCTCCCTGTGAAGAGACAGCCCTGTTTGCTTAATACTCCTGTTTCCTTAGTACTTATCTGTGAGCACAAGGACCTCTGTGTCTTCTGCACTCTCCTTCCCCTTGGTTTTCCTAGATAATTGCACTTCTACTTTTGCATCATATATACATAAATGATTTTATGTATCAATATAAAATCTAAGAACTGTATAGGAGAGAAAACCTACATATTTGCCTTTCTGAGAATGGGTTAATTCTAAGCTGGTTAGTTTATGATAGGTAGGCCAATACCATAATGTATTTATTGAATTTAATTTCTCCCTATAAAATCTGATTTTTCTTGTGATGAGCAACTAGAGCACATACTGCAACCTAAAATGTCAGTGTATTGCCTTCTGCTTTGGGTTAAAGGACTCAGGGAGTATACTTTGCATGTATCGATAGTCAGGGATCGATTCCTTCATTTTATGGCTGGAAATGTAAAATTAAAACTTTGTAGGTATCTTAATGTTTTAAAAATAGTGGTTTCACCAGGCGGTGGTGTGTGTGTTTAAGAATAGTGGTTTCACCAGGCAGTGGTGGCACACGCCTTTAATCCAAGCATACTCAGGAGGCAGAGGCAGGCGGATCTCTGTGAGTTTGAGGCCAGCCTGGCCTACAAGAGCTAGTTCCAGGACAGGCTCCAAAACCACAGAGAAACCCTGTCTCAAAAAAAAAAAAAAAAGAAAAGAAAAAAAAGAAAAGGAAAAAAAAGAATAGTGGTTTCCCATATGCCTAATAAAACACATTTTATATTAATATTTCTATTTCCTTAACAAGGAAAATTTTTATAAGTATGAAATTTCTATTTTACAGAAATGAAAAGTAATCACGTTATATTGATATATTTGGTGTGTATAGAGTAGGTGCCATTAGTTGAAGGTCAGGTTAGAGGAACAGGGGAAATAAGGCAGCCAAGATCATTAAACATATGCCTCAGGTTTTTTTTTTTTCAAGACAGGATTTCACTGTGTAGCACTAGCTGCTTTGGAACTCACTCTATAGACCAGGCTGGCCTCAAGCACATAAAGATCTGCCTGCCTCTGCCTCCTGAGTGCTGGGATTAAAGACGTGCCACCACAGGCAAAAAATATGCCCCAATTTTAAGACATATTAATAATGTAAACCCTCAGAAAAAATGCTACATTATGTAAAGCAATAAATACATCATCCTCAAATTTGTAAATTTGGATTGGCAATAGTTTTGTATTTCATTTTTTTATAACATTTGCAATATGCAAGCATGTGTCCTGTAAACTGAATAACACTGTGAGCTCTGCTTGTTTCCTAAGCACAATATCCCAGAGTCACTGCTTCCACATGCCCCATCTGTGGCCCACACCTTACCAGGGTTGTGTGTATTCTCATCCTGTTGCTTGCCGTAAAATAGAGGAACTGGAAATTTTAAGAATTCCTAAGTAAAGTAATATTCAGTTTTGTTTGATTTTGCAATTTATTAAACTGTTGAAATTACTGCTTTTTTCTTTGCTGTCTTTGCTCATTTATTGTGTTTTTAAGATTCATACATATTACTATATGTACTACATAAAGTTCATTGGTTTTTCACTACTATAAAATAGTCTTTTGGGTGAATACTTTAGTGTTTATTATCTGGTTGACAGCATTTGAATTACTGCTGACTCTTTGCTGTTGTCAGCATTCCTGCATATGTCTCAGTATAGGCCCCATCACCTCGCAGTGGGGTTGCTAAGGCGCAGGGGCTGCAGCTGTTGAACCATATGCTATAGTGTCATCTATTTTCCAAAATATTAGCACAAATGACAGTCACATCAGCATCATCTATGGTTCTCTCTGACCCATATTATCCCTAGCACATCATTCTGTAAATCGTGGTAAACTAGTGTGTCACTAAAGTACTGTTTTGCCTGTCCCAGTTAACTGTGATGACGCCCTTCATACTTTCCCTTATAGGCAATACCTGGTTATGTTTGCTCATCCTTTTGTTGAATTTTCCATATTTTTTTCCTCATGATTTATTGGACTTCTTTATGTGGGTCCTGAGTTACTAACACACAGGATAATCTCCTCATTTGTCACATCTGCTCATATTCATGGTGTATTTCCCTGAACAAAATTACTAATTTTACTGAAGTAAGATGTTATTCCTGTTGTTTAGGTTTTTCTTTTTTCTCTTCTTAAGAAACTTTCCTGCTTCAAGACCATAAAGATACAATCTTTATTTTCTTCCAAAAATAATCCTTCTAACTCTCACATGTTGCTGTGTGCAGTATTTTGTGCATAGTAAACTTTCTATTATTGTACATATGCCTGTAATCCACTTAGAACTAAGTTTTAATATATGGTGTCAAGTAGGGATCTGGCCATATTGGTTTATATGGCTGGTTCCTCCATCGCTGTTTATCAGTGATAATTTCCCTGTCTACTCTTTCATCTGCAGATATGTGGGCATTCAGTGTTTAGTGATAAGAATTCATGAAGTAAATGTGTTCATTTTTTAGTTTAGTTTTTTGGTCTCTGATGATTTTTAAATGGTCAATTTTAAGGTTTATATATTCTACTTGATTTATTTGTCCAGGATAGAATTCCTTTAAACTATTACTATGATGCATTAGTTTGTTCAAATTATATATTACCTTCCTGGTAAGAATTATTAACTTGACATGTTTTAAAGAACTATATTTTGATTTAACATAAGTGAAATGTCTTAATGGTGTATTCTTAATAGACTAAAACTTTTATGATTTAATTTTTAAAGGTTTTATTGAAATACTAATTTTATTTTTATTATTTTAGGTTCGACCTTTAAACACTGAAGGATCATTAAATCTTTTAGGGTTGGAGACTGTTAGATTAATATATTTCAAAAATAAGATGGCAGGTAAGGGATATATTAATAAGATCAATTCAGTGGAAATAATTACATCGGTCCAAGGTATTTGGATATGCAATGAATGCCTCAGGCATATCTCACTCTGGAGTGTGCGATGCCTGCTGTCAAACTCTGGCAGACAGTAAAGACAAGCTGTGAACAAGCAATCCTGGTGAAGCCTGTATGGCTGTGTAAGCAAAGCGTTTGACACACATTCTTTTCCTGTGGCGCACCTGATAAATAGAGAAGATAATGGCTGGGTATGTAGTATTTAGAACCTAGTCCGTAGGTTCTAAATTATAGACACTTGTCCAGAATTCCTTCTGGGGGATCTTCAGGAATCTCCATCTATTGCACAGTGCTTCTGAAGTACTGAAGATAATGTGGGAAGAGGCAAAAAAGATCATAGGAATGAATCCCCAGAATAAGGACCTAGAACAGGAAGCCTAGAAAGTGAAGATGGAGAAAATAATTTATGGAAAGTGAGTTGGGGCATTGTTTTTAAGAATGAAATGAATGGGGCTGAAGAGATGGCTCGGCAGTTCAGAGGGCGTGTACTGCTCTTCCAGTGGACTGGAGCCACTGAATCCACTCTCTGCAGGAGAAGGAAAACAATGTGAAGATACTGGAGGAGAAGTGGCTGGTCAAAGCCATAGCACCAAGACAGCTTTAGTTTTCTTCTAGCAAACATGTAGCATCCTTGTATTTATAATTAAAAATAAGAATGTGTTTTTGTAAGCTATGCCTAATTTAGCATATATCTTTTAGTATATTCCACTGAAAATTACTGCTTTCTTTCTTATTTTTAATGCATAACTCTTGTCACAATTGTACATATTATTCAGTTGATTGCAATGTCAGAAATTAATAAGATATAAAGAATTTTAGCAATTTAAACAATATCACTATTTTGTTTCTCACAGAAGGGGATGAACTTGTAGTTCCTGAAACATCAGATAATAGTCGAAAACAAATGGTTAGAAATATCAACAACAAGCGGCGTTACTCCTTCAGAGTGCCGGAGGAAGAAAGGATGCAGCAGAGGAGGTATGTAGTTCACTTGTGCCCAGCATCCATCCATGCTGACAGCATCTGTCCATGTTGCCATCCCCCAGAGGACAAGCTAGAAACAATTGAGAAGAACGATTTGGTATCTGAAATTTTGTCACTCAGCTGTGATCTAAAATTGTAGAGCCAAGCACGAGTAACGCTCAGGAGTCTCTCCAACTGCAGGGGTTCTGTGCTCATGAGTGGCATCCCTCAGGGCCATTTTAATTAATACTGTCAAAGTTATGAGAATACAGTGGGTAAAGTACCAATTTCACTCATTTCTGTTTTTATATAGAAGAGTTATCATTTCTGCCATGTGTAACTTGTACTATAAATCATCTGTGCATATAGTAAATTTATATATGCTTAAGAAGTACAGAAACCAGGCATGGTGACTCATGACTGTAATCTTAGCATTCAAGAGGCTAAGGCAGGAGAGTCATCTTGAGCTTGAGGCCAGCGTGCTCTGAGCTAAAGGCTAAGACCCTTTCTTTAAAAAAAAAAAAAAAAGGAAAAAAAACCTAAACAAACAAAAAGAAACTGAGATTAAAACTCTATTCTCGCCCGGCGGTGGTGGCGCACGCCTTTAATCCCAGCACTTGGGAGGCAGAGGCAGGCGGATCTCTGGGAGTTCGAGGCCAGCCTGGTCTACAAGAGCTAGTTCCAGGACAGGAACCAAAAGCTACGGAGAAACCCTGTCTCGAAAAATCAAAAAAAAAAAAAAAAAAAAAACTCTATTCTCCATGAGCAAACAGATGTAGCTATATTTAAAACCATTTCTAAAATGTTATCTATTATAAAAGATGCACATATAATATTCCATGTATCTGCAAAGTAGAACAGGAATCTTTGATGCATGCTAAAGGAGCCCTTTCCAGCAAGGGTGGTACAGAACCTAATACATGTGTGTGTCTCTGGCTTTGATCCCCAGCACTGAACAGTTTAAACAAACAAACCCTAAATCTTAAGGTCTTCTTATTTAAATTTTTTTTAAAAAGCAACCTAAGGAATTGAACTATTAATATATTCTGTTATTCTAATCATATCTTTATTTTTATAAAACAAAGTATGCTTAATTTTTTAAGTTATAATGATTAAATGTGGAAAAACTTCTAAACAGGTGTTCTACCTTACAGGGAGATGCTACGAGATCCAGAAATGAGAAATAAATTAATTTCTAACCCAACTAATTTTAACCACATAGCACACATGGGTCCTGGAGATGGAATACAGATCCTAAAAGACCTGCCCATGGTAAGAGGCATGAGGAGTGGTGTGAACATGAATGGAGTGAGGAGTCAGTGCAGGTGCGTGGGTGATACGTGAACATAGGCTCACATACATGCACAGCTTCTCAGGATGCGTTGTACAGTGAGGACATGTTCTTAGTGTGTGCCACAGTATGTTTAAGACACATGGTGGCTTACATCATAGAGAAACTTACAATTCAGAAATCTATCAAAACCCAAAACAAAAGTTCTTAATTGGTTTTCTACCCTAGGGAAGTTCCCCATTTTGCTAATACAAGTTTGCTGTTGTTAGTGGGAGAAACAGCCATATTTGAAAAGGTTCTGTCACAAGTCCCAGATGCAGTTACCAAAGCGTAAGATTTTACTCAGTTCAATACAGATACTTGGTGTTTTTCTCTGCAGAAGTCCACATGGGCTTCATCATTCATAGTCACACCTCTCAGCTAACTGTGCAATTAAATCTTGTTCCTTTGCTCCAATTCAAGCATGTTTCCTGGACAATTATATGTAAAAAGAAATATAACATAGGAAGATTGTTGTATTTTAACAACATGAAGATTGCATCCACAGACCCATTATGCTGAGGTTAAAATTACTAGTGGAATTAGCAAATTAGCCAGGCCTGTTTGCTCTTAAAATGTCACCTCTAGCAAGCTACTAAAATGGAGTATGACCCTTTGGTCAGTGGGGATATCAGCTAAATTGGGCAAAGAATTTTAAGAATAATTTCTATCTTATGGCAGTTTCAGAGAGGACTATGAATATTGATCCTAATCTCTTCCTAAGGACATCTGTGCTAATCTCATTAGCAACACCAGTGGTAGAAGCAAGGAGAGAAGTGATAAAATGTGACGTGTAATGCAAACTCTAGTGTGGAAGTTAGGTTATAAAGGGAGCTTTTCGCTTATTTCCTGGGGAGAAAAAAAATGAATCTACATTCATTTTAGCCAAAATACTTGTTGTAAATATCAGAGTCACATGGCCATGCTTTCTTACTGCTTTTTCATCTTATGATGATGATGATGGTGATGATGCCAATGATAGCAGCCATGGCAGTATAAGTCATTACAGTAGCCACCCTTAGGAATCTAGATTTCTGTTAGCTGTGCTGGGTGAATATCAAGTGTGCACAGACGAGATCACGGTGATCTTTATATAGGCCAAGCACATTAGACAGCAGAGCTGCTGTGTTTGTGAGCAGTTCTGCTTCAGCTCCCACCAGGAGTGAGAGCTCAAGGTCTCCTCCCCTCCTAACACTGCTCCACAGTCCTCACTGCTCTTCCACCAGGAGTGAGAGCTCAAGGTCTCCTCCCCTCCTAACACTGCTCCACAGTCCTCACTGCTCTTCCACCAGGAGTGAGAGCTCAAGGTCTCCTCCCCTCCTAACACTGCTCCACAGTCCTCACTGCTCTTCCACCAGGAGTGAGAGCTCAAGGTCTCCTCCCCTCCTAACACTGCTCCACAGTCCTCACTGCTCATGCTCCTGTCTTAGCAGCACACAGCACAGTCCCAAGATCCAAGCCTCTGTTGTTACTGTTCTTGCTATTTCATTTTCCTGCGGGAAAGTTACAGGGCCAAGTACAAAATGTTTTAAGTAGAGAGAATTTCTTTAAATTATAACAAACAGTTAAATGTGACTGTATTCACAGCTTGTATGTGGAAGATCAAGTGCAGTATACTTATTTTCATTGAACTCTTTGAACTTTTGATAGATTTTTTTCATAAATGTGTAGTTAGCATTACTGAGGAGTAGAGAGATAACTAACTTCAGACACATAAATGTATTGCAGACTAGCTTGCCGCTAAATCAATGTTGGTTCAGTAGTAGCAAGGCTTTGACAGGTACCAACCTTTACAATTCAAATGTCAGCTTTCACTGTCACATTCCGCTGCACCCAGAAAGGTTTTACCATATTTTTATGTAAAAATATAGAATCATAGAAATTATAGAAAATTTTCATAGAAATTCTGTTGTACCCCTTACATTGTAATACTTTCCTTAAGGTGAAATAATATCAGGATTTCATGTTACTCTGCTTAGGATTGCACCAGGTGAAGAGTTGTTTCTCCTCGGAAGGTCTTTCCAACCTTCACATACAATGGAGCATGGATTCCAAATTAACAGTTCAAATATTGTAAGAAACCTCAGAGTATCCCCTCAGCTTCACTTCTTTTTGTTTTAAGTTTTTATTCTTGGTTTTGGTTTTGGTATTTGAGTCAGGGTCTTACTGTGTAGCCATGGCTAACCTGAAACTCTCTTTGAAGACCAAGCTGTCTTCAAACTCAAAAGAGACCCAACTGCCTCTGCCTCTTGGGTGCTGGGAACACCACCATGTGCCACCATGTACCACCATGCCCAGCCTAACTGCACTTCTTCCTCCTTTCCCTCCCTTAATACTTCAAAGGAATCTTGTTTGTTTTGAGAGGGAGTATTCCTTAGGTGGCCCTGACTGATCTTGAATTTACTGTGTAGCCTCGGCTAGCCTCAACTTTGAGCCTGTCTCCCCTGCCTCAGCCTTCTAGGTGCAGCAGGTACCAATCACCATACTCACCAGGAAGTTATGTTTGGTTGTTGTTGAAAAGATTTTTTACTATTAACCAAAGCAATTTCAGATGATGTTTGCCACTCATCCTCAAATGGCCCCATCTACGTGACCTTCCATGCTGATTACTGAGATATAATTAGACTGCTTAGTTTTGGGTATTTATTGTCCCCTGATTTTGTTAACTCCACAGCCACCATCCCCAACCCCCACCCCGGATTAACATTAGTCCTTTTTCCCTGCCAGTTCAGTCATTTTAAATGTGTCTTCTATTCCTTTAATTTTTCTTATTATGTAAGATAAACACTATTATAGTTCCAGGAAGATGTACGTTTATGAAGCTGTTTCTTCGTCTGCACATGTAGTAGGCATCAAATATTTCCTGTGTCCAAATTCCTGTTTGTTTCCTGTTATTTCCAGGTGACTTTTCTTTGCTCATTTCACATGCAAAGGATTCCTGACCTAGCTCTCTAAATTCCTCTGTTTAATCACTGACTTTGTGCCTGGGACCATGCGTATCTAGACATAGACACTGTTAAACACCGTAGCACTGTGCATGTCTGTAAGAGTGCTCTCACATGTGACATAGAGCTTGTATTTTAATGCAGTCTCATTTCAGTATGCTCTTTCCACTTGGATGGAATTATGAATCAGCCCTCACCCAAAAAGGATGAATTACATTGATCTAGTATCATATGTAAGAGCTTTCAGGCCCCAAAGCCATGTTACCATCTGTGCAAAGAACATGTACTCCAGATGTTTTCATATCTCGTTGTGTTCGATATAAATCACTGTCATATTCCTGTGAAATACTGAAGACCTTAGAAAGTTTTTTTGTTTTTTTTTTTTTTCGAGACAGGTTTTGGAGCCTGTCCTGGAACTAGCTCTTGTAGACCAGGCTGCTCTCCAGCTCACAGAGATCCGCCTGCCTCTGCCTCCCAAGTGCTGGGATTAAAGGTGTGTGCCACCACCGCCCGGCCTTAGAAAGTTTTGAAAGGATCTTTGGAAGTGTAACTGTTCATTTGTGCCAAATATCCTGAAATAAGATCACTTCTGTCTTAAGTATGGAAAGGGCAGGAAAGGTTGGAACAGTCTCTTTCTTGCCTCTTGGATCAGATTTCTCCCGTTTCTATTCTAGTGAGTGGAGAGAAGAAAAACAAACTAACATAAAGAGTCTTAGAAGATATACTGAATTAGTTTCCTCGAACCTTCTTTACCATTTATCTACCTATGGTTTCTGTTGTTTTTAAGTGGTTGCTAAAAATACAGGAACTGTTTTTCCAACCTAATGTGAGAGTAACTTGTCACCATAGTGTTGGTCACCGTCTCCCTAGCACAGTGCATCATACCTGTTTCTCGGATTCTTAATGGTTCAGCATGCTGAGCTCAGTAGCATCTTTAAGAAGTAATTTTTATTCTTGAACTGGGGGTGCAGTTCAGTGATAAAGTGCTTCCTTGATAGTGTATGCATGAGGGGCTGGGCTCAGTCCATAGCACTTTAGCACCTTCCCCTCCAAAAAGATACTTTTGTTTCTTAAATTCAAAGATGGAGGGAATTGACAGACGGACGGATGGACAGGTGGATGGATGGGTAGAAATAGATAGAGATATAGGTCAGTATTTTTTATTTTTGAAAACAGCCTTAGAAAATACTGATTTTATTCACATTTCTAAAGTAAAAGCACTGTCATATATAGAGAAGCTTTTCTTTTAGGCTTAGGTAAGTCCTGAGCATTTTCTTTTTACCATCTATCTCATGCTTTATTAAGTAAGGCATGCTCTTAAGTTCTTCTTTCAGTCTCCCTATAGTGAAGGGATAGTGTGTTCTGGTAACAGCTGTTCTTCAAGAACTGTAGGAAATGGCTGGCCCACTAAGTGACATTGCCCATGTGTACACTCATAAGTAAATATTTATTAGGAGATAAACATTCTTCTCTTCAGACTTTTTTCTGCAACTCTATTATTATATTATTTGCCTTTTAAAAAAACACACTTGAACATTCAAAGGCAGAATTTTCCCTTGTTGGAAACAAGCTTATTCTTTGGGGTATCTAAATGGAGATGAGCTGGGTTGCTTACAGGCAAACCAGAAATAGTGTAGCCCACAATTCTCACTGTCTTTATTATAGGGAAATAATATCACTAAAAGCCAGGGCATGTCGTAGGCCTATAAATTCAGAACTGGGAAATGGCTATAGAGTCTGAGGAAGTAGGTTTATACCTTTCTAGTTAGAAACAATGTAAGGTTCCCTTGTCCTTTTAGCTGTCTCTTGCTGTTTCTGTACTTAGTGTTTTGTGTAGACTTTTGCAATGCTTTTGTTGTATCACATAAGAAAATCTGAAGATTCTGAAAGCTCCTTGGATCTCTGAAAGCCATGCTGCTACTCACTCAACTGGTAAAATGGGAATGATGTCAAGTGGTCTTTTGGAAATCTGCTGTTTTGAGTAACTGATTACAGAATTTGACTTTCTGAGGTCTGAAAGAATTTTCCTGGGAGTTCTGAGAGAGACACTGCCTTATTCTTTGTGTGCATGTTGTCTGGGGTCACTCACCCTGATCCATTAGCATCACCTTACACCGTTTTTTCCCCCTTCTTTGTTTTTGATAGCCAGGTTTCCCTTATCCATCCCCTCATCACCACTCCGGTCTGATCTCCTCTCCGAGCAACTTTGAGCACATCTATCACATGACTGTCAATTCTGCTCAACAGTTTCTCTCTCCTGATTCCATAAACCCTGAGTACCCCCCGTCCCTGCGCTCTGCCCCTGGTACTCCACACTCCGTGACTCTAAGGGTATGAAGGCTGAGTCTGGGGCTAACCATCGCTAACCTGGTGTGCACTTGCTAACCCCTGAGAGGTGCCTTGGGGAATGGCTGCCCTTTCCTCCTCAGCTGCCAGCTTCAACTACTTTTTTGTCTTCTCCTGTTTACCCTCCTCTTCCTCCTCTTCTCAGTCTGTCTTGTTTCTTCTTCTGGGGGAAATGTGGAGGAGTAAAGGATTCTGTATTAATTCTGAAACAGCTTTAGAGTATGTATCTTTGTGGGAAAGTTTTCCCAGTATGGTGTTTTCCACTCAGTATACCATGTTAAAACAAAAACAGCCCCAGCTGGATCTTTATTCTTTTAAAACAACAGAAAAGGGCTCCCTGAATTTCTGAATTGTTTAACAGCTCTTTACCCTGTAACCACTTGAGTTCAGGGATGAGATTAAGGTCTGCATGGAGTTTATCCATAGACCTACCAGAAGTCTCCGAAGTAATGGTATAAATACTGAGTAAGTAACATAAAAAGTTCTAAAGCTAAAGTCAGTTTTTATAAACCCTTGAGTTGTTGATATGTATTTAATTGCAACCAAGACCCAAGATAAGAAAATTAAAAAAAAAAAAAAGCTGCTACCCCTGAAGAAGTCTGGCACCTGCTGGTCCTTTCATTCATCCTCATACCTTCGTTACCATTGGCCATGCATGACATGGCTGTTAAGCAGAGTGTCTATTTTCTCAATGTGTGCATGTATGCTTCAAAGGAAGTTAGTTTTATGGATATTAAAATATTTTAGTTATATCATGCAAGCTTATTTCTTATAATGCACCCAGGTTAGTAAAATAGTCATAGCAATTTTTTAAATTTGTGATGTAGTTATTTTCCAGTAAGAAAATTAGAGTTTGTATTATCATATTACTTTAAATTATGTTTTAAATGTCACCAACATTAAATTATAATACCAACTGAATGTCTTACTTGTCAGAATTACTGTAATAAAATCAGCCTTAGTTTGCTTGGCAGCAGGAAGCAGGATTCCAAGGACCTTCCTGTGAAAGAAACTGCTTGCCATCAGCCCATCAGTGGGAGTTTGCCCTATTTTTAAGCATAGTTTTAACTAGAAAGTCCAAAAAGTTGTATTTCTTGTTAGGTTATACTGAAATTTGTATCACTTGACTAAATGATTTAGTATTTTAGTTTTCAATCTTAGTTGCTGGCTTATTAGAAGCTTTTTCTCAGTCTTTTGTTCTAGGGTAGGCTGTTTTAGAGAAAAGAACAGCAAACCCCTGAGCTTTGAAGTGCAGCTTGACTCTGGCAGTTCTGTCTCCAAGGAGCCCCTCTTGGCGATGCTGGCTGTGTCTCATAAGTTGTTCCTGTGTGTGCAGATGCTAAGCTGCTGCCTTTGACTCTCTTGGCTTTCTTTTAATTTTTTTTTTAGATAAATAAGGCAAAATATTTTCTTTAAACAAATAACACACAGAATTACATGGACTTTGCAGATCTAATATAGGGACTAAAATAGCAGTGTTGAATTGGGGACTAGTTAACTAGCCAGCTTTCAGCTTAAGGACATTGGGTGATGTCATTTGAATTGTTTTCTGTGACCTTCCCTTGGGCTTGCAGGTGTGTGGGAAAGCCTAGTGCTGCAGACACACCCAGAGCATCACCCTTTTAGGGGGTGTCATAGTCACATGGGAACTGGGAAGTGAGTGTCCCATTCTGGACCTTATTAACAATCAAAAATATTTAGCCACACTCACTACTAGATTTCCTTTTTGCTTTTTTCTTGTTTCTGCCTGATTCTTAGATCTTGTTTAAAATTGTTTGATCTTTGGCATATTGTAGGAGAGACAATTGTGTTAGCGCATGGGTCAACAAAGAAAGAATTAGAAGAACTGGGGGCCTGAATCATGACTCAGTAGGTAAAATATTTGCCACCAAGCCTGACAACAGGGGTTTAATCCCCAGAACCTACAGTGAAGGAGAGCACCAACTCGCAAAAGTTGTCCGTCCTCTGAGCAGCCACAGTGGCATGCACATGCTTACACACTGCATGCAGTCTTTTTAATGCAAGAATTGCTACCATTTTATTAATTAGTTCCCAAAGGATGTTATTCTTTCCAAATTATATAAAGTGTATTCTGTGTCTTTAAAACCTTTATGAACTTTAAATCACAGTATCTTCTATGGAGAGGATCATAATCTGAAATTTGTTAATTGCCAGTTGAATTAATCTAATGCCTGAAGCAGGAAATGAGGGTTGCAGATATAATCCATTCATCTATCCAATAAATATCTTTAGTACCTCTTTTAAGTGCTAGAGCCTGAAGGTTACCACCTGACCTCTGTACATGAACATACACACATACACACACACATACATATAAACATTTAAAAGAAAATGTGGAAAGGAAACAGCAAATTGTTAGTAGAGTCTGGTGAGTTAAGAGAATTTACCAAGGGTTTCAGTATTACCCATATACTCCACCATCTGGGAGTATTTCCTTGACAATAAGAAAAAGCAAACATTTTAATGAACTAATTAGCGCTGGGAAAACTGCTGGTTGGTTAATATATTTTTGATTAGTCTTAGTGGCCTTGACCATCATGAGATTTGCTGAGTGTAGAAACGAGAAAGTGGGAGTGAAGTGACTCGGTGACTGAGGGAGCCTGCTGCCAAGCCTGCCGACCTGAGTTCAGTCCCAGGACCCACATGGTGGATGGAGAGAAACAGCTCCACAGTGTTGTCCCCTGACCTCTGCATATGTATTGGCATGCATGTACCTACATGTACACACACACAATTTTTTAAAGGAGACAAAGGCTCCCAGGTTCTGAAATAAGAAGCTTGGCACTACATAAAGGTCAGGGAAGAAGCGCGTGCTAGCCCTGTCAGACCTGTTTTCTTAACAAATACATTCTTCAGGAAAGTCACAGGCTTTGACATTTGGACTACTTTTTAAAGTAGCTGTTTCTGTGTATATTCCCAGCATCTTGCCTAATACATGTAAGATCCGTGCCCATCCCTTCCAGAAGAATTTTTATATAATTAAAGAGGAGGTTATTGACATTGGTGCTCACAAGTGGGCCATGTGTGTCATTATTAGTTCAGGGCAGTAGAGCCACATAGTGGAACAGGGCAAGTGCCTGACTCCTGCAGATGTGACCACTGTGATTCCCAGAAATCCATGAGGCACATGTTAGCCTCAGTACTGAACACACTAAGGGCTCTATAGTGTAGTCAGGTTGTGCTTTGTTTCTCCTGGCCTCAGCTCACCAGTCCCCAAGCTGCCTCTATCTTTACCTCATGAACAACCAGAGGAGAAGCAACACAGTGAGAGAGAGAAAGAGGGAGAGAGAAAAAGAGAAAGAGAGACTGAGACTAACTATATAGACCCTTTATTTCAGAAAACATTTGCAAGAATTTGGGACCATACCCACACAAGGAGAAAGCTTAGTAAGTGAAGAAAGAAGTTGGTAACATGGCCGTGTGGTTTGCCTACTCTAAAATTTAGAACGTATATCAAGTGTCTACACTCTCTGGACTCTGATGTGCCCCTGCACCCCTTCACCCTTCCTTCTAGCCTGAAGCTCTGAGCAGGACAGTTTCCACTGCTACCCCTGGCACAGATGTTACTCCATTAACAGCTTGCGGTTTCATGGACAGAACTAGAAAGATTCTGAACAACTGGGGCATGGTCATACAAATGACACATGGTGTCAACAAGACACTTTTATCAAGAATATAATTTTAATTGACTCCTCTCTAAATGGGCCTATTTGGGTTTTGTAAGTAAATAATCTCATTTGTAGTCAAAGATGTTTCCATTATCTGCAAATGTCCATGTACTTCTGCACTCCACTCTTAGCTAACCATATAACATTTTCACAACCAAATAACTACTTATTGGTGAGCTTCCTTTCATGTCAGGGCTTCAAAGTCCTAGGTGAGAAAGATTGGGTCCCTGTGCTCCCTACCTGGTTTACCCTGTTCAAGATCACCTTGTGTCTTGAGAATCAGAGAGAAAGGCAGAATGTCTGCACAAGACTGTCTTCCCCACTGAAGACTGTGCCTCTCTTGTGTTCTAGAACCCACGTCCTCAGGAAAGCCGGACAGTATTCAGTGGCTCCGTCAGTATTCCCTCCATCACCAAGTCCCGTCCCGAACCAGGCCGCTCCATGAGTGCCAGCAGTGGCCTGTCTGCACGTAAGTGGTCAGGTGGGAAGGGGCTTTGCCAAGTGATCACAGCGGGGAGGTAAAAGTGGAGCTGAGGAAGTAGGCCACAAAGAAAATGTGTCCCTTGGGACAGATGAGCTGCTTGCCCAGGAACAATTTCCAGCTAGAGTTGATGGGGACCCTTGTCTACCTGAGTGAAAGTGTACATTGATGCTCAGAGTAGCATGCCTAAGTGTATAAGAGTATGTACAGTCTCATAGAGTTGGTTATGGGCTGTAGTCATTCTGTGATGGGGTTATGTACAGACTGTGGCATCAGCCTTGAACATCCAGCAGACACCATCTATATGCTGACATCTGGGACCTCAACAAAGCCTTTCTTCACTCCCAAACCACTGATGGCTGAGAGAAGCTAATTATATTGAATCCACTTTCCTATGGAGAGAACTGGAGACCAAGGAGGGCAAAACAACCTAGTTAAGACACAAAGAGAAGAGGTGTGGAAGGTTTCTGGTTTGGATTTGCTATTCAGAATGAGAAGTTACCAACAGTGATGGCAACTGAACACTTAACTAGGCATTAGGGAAATCAAATAAAAATGACTGCCTTCCATTAGGGATGTATTCCAGGAGACCAAAGACCTATGTCAGAGTAAAGAGTGTACTTCCAGAAGAATTTCCCTCCAAGTAAGAACTGGGCAGGGCCAGTGATTACTTTGGTAACTGGAGGAGAGCGACATGTGCTGTGGGAGTGGTAGTCATCAGGGCCAACAGGATACCTAAGTCAAGAATTTGGGTCAAGCGGATCCGGCAAGGATCTAGGTGCTTGCCGTAGAACCCCCGTCTACAAGCAGCACGGTAGTCTCTGGAAGGGGGCCGTGTGAGGGGCTTAGCCCCAGGGAGGAAGGCCTGTGTGGTATGGAGGACAGTCTAGCAGGTGGGCTTCCACTCAGTGTCTTTCTGAACCCTATGAGCACACGGTTGGTAGTCATAGCTAGGCATGCAGTCATCAAGTGGCATTTTTGTCAGATTCTTAATGTAAAAGGCATTTATAAAATCATCAAAATATTGGAACAATCTGTCTGACACTCGGTAAAAATACTAAGTTTTCTTAAGCAAAAACTAAAAACTGGTGAGGACCATAGAGAACATTTGAATGGGCTCTTAACAATATTCCTCAAGTTTGCAGAGGTTCCTGTCTGCTCTTTTCTTGCTGTCAGTGCTGCTGATCACCCTGCTGTGTGTTCCATCTCTAAGATCAAAGCATTTGGGTACACTGTCAAAGAGACTCACGGCCTGTTTGTTGCTCCTGGGCTGTGTGCGCCTGTTTCCTTTGTTTCCTGTGAGCGTTTCTGAAAGGCAGTGTTTGGGAATGCTTGGCTGGTGCTGTGAGTTCCAGCTAGGCAGAGATGCCCCTTCTGTTAGAAGGCCCAATATGTCTGTAGCATGGTATACTGAGAGAGCCCCATGGAGACACCTAAGGCAGCTAGTGGCAGGTGGCCCTGGAAAGATTTTGTGGGCTCCACATGACCTGGGTCTACTGTCCAAACAGCAGCAGTCCTACAGCCAGAGGGCGACAGAAACAACCTTCAGCACTGGGCTTACTGCTCTATTGGGAGGATGCCTTGTCATCTTGGCAGCCTATTCTCTTCTATATAGGCATGGCCTCTTCCAAGTACATAGCTTTTCTCAAACGGTGTCTTACAGGGTCATCAGCCCAGAATGGCAGTGCGCTAAAGAGGGAATTCTCTGGAGGAAGCTACAACATGAAGCGACAGCCAATGCCCTCTCCCTCAGAGGGCTCTTTATCATCGGGAGGTATGGACCAAGGAAGTGACGCCCCCGCGAGGGACTATGATGGAGAGGTAAATGGGCCATGGATAGCAGCTGCATGCATAAGGCCAGTGCTTTGCCCAGGATGATCCTACCACCTTTACATGTTCCTCTGAAGGGTCAGCAAGGACTGTCACGTGGGTGCAAACCATGGCTTCCCAGAAGCTCTAAGCTTCTGAATGCTTTTTAGTGAAAGGCCCCCGTGCTTGTTATGTGTCCTCTGGTCATCTCACAGAGGGTATGTCTGCTGACAAGAGAGAAGCCCATAGGTGGGAGTGTGGGTACTAGAGGTAGCCTTGGGCAGCAAGTGTCCTTCCTGTTGTCATCCAAGTTTCTCACTAGGGCCTTGTTTTACAGGACTCTGATTCGCCAAGGCATTCCACAGCTTCCAACAGCTCCAACCTGAGCAGTCCCCCAAGCCCTGTTTCACCCCGAAAGACCAAGAGCCTCTCCCTGGAGAGCACAGACCGCGGGAGCTGGGATCCGTGAACCCAGGACCGTGGTGGCCACAGGCAAGGGACTCTGCACCCCGACAACGTGCCTGGCAGCAGCGTCGTCTTCCGCACTGCTGCAATAAGGATTCCTCCGCAGCCAGGCCCGCTTTACCCTCCCCCTCCAGGTAGCTTTGTAGACAGACTGCGCAGACGCAGCGCTAAGAGTAGACAGGTTGTGTTCTCACCGTAGTCCTCACGTAGCGCCCAGCAGCCTCCATGAGCGTCAGCCCGACTGTTGCCAGGAAATAAATCCTCACGACTTAAAACAATGCATATTTTACTACAATACAGAGTTTAAATAAATACATAAATGTAGAAGTTAAATACTGAATGTATATAGTCAAAGAAGCATCTTGTGTTTGATGAAAGATGGATGCGTATATAAGAAAGATCATTTAATTTAAAAAAAAAATGTGTTGTTTCTTGTCTGTTTCCCAGCTAAGTCATATACAGGGTAGAAAGGCCTCAAGTGACATTTGTAAAGAGAGCAGAAGTCAGGTCCCCTCACCCAGCCCCCGTGGTGTCTGTCCTCGAGCTGTGGGCAGGCTACAGTCCTGTGGAAATCTAAGGAATGTTTAGAGATTAGTGCCATGATAGGGTGTGATCTGGACACCACAGTAGCACAGAGACACACTCGCCTGCCTCCCAGGGCATTTTCTCCTTTGGTGATGGATTTGAACATGTCCTCTTATTATATTTTGATATATCGCACAGATGAATGTGAAAGACATTTCTGTCATCTTTTGACCCTTCCCATCATAAAGGGCACAGTCATGGCTTCTGAAGATCATCGAATGGTTTGTGTAGCCTATTTTGTCCTGGCTAAATCCTGTCCCTCCCTAGGTTGCAGTGAGTCTATCTGGACTGGGCACAGCTTCCCAAAGGGGAGCCTGATTGGTTAAGGGTAGTTGTAAACTTCTCCTAAACACTCCTGGGGAAAGGGCTCCTTTCTCCCTACTAAGTCATGTGAAACCTCAGAAGCACGGGCGTGAACAGCCTTGACCAAATATGCCTTCTCACCAGAGGGGACAGTGGGGTCTGTGCATGGGTCCAAGGTGTGCTGGCTGCCATGGATGTCGGCCAGCTTCCACTCTGGATGTCTGCTGCTGTACTTGTCTAAGGAGGCAAGATGGCGACCAGAACTCATCTCTGCCCACGTGTTTCACCAGCTAAGACCACAAAGAAAAGATGAAACTATAATATCGCATGCAAATAAAGAGGCCCTGCCGCTCTTTGTTTTCACCTCTTTTGGGTTGAAAAGCCACTATTTTTCCCCACTTTAAACACATCTAAAATAATTTCCAGATTATTATTAACCTGTCCGGCATGCTGACACTTGGCACAGATTCCTGAGGTGTGCTGCCTTATGGAGGAGGTTACAGTTTCGGGGGGAGGTGGTCAGGGATGGTGATGGAAGCACTTCTGATAGGGTCTGTTTAAACAACAGCTTTGACGTCTAGATTCTCCACTGACTCAGACATGAGTACATTTTGTTTTGGATGGGCCTTGCTTGTTCTAATCTGAATCATTTTGCTTTCGGAAAAGTATATTTGTATGCATCCAAAAATAAGGATTAGATCTTGAGTTTGGTCAGAGCCTTATTATTGTTGTATCTACCTGAACTTGGTAGTTTGCCTTGATAGAACTGGTCCCCTCCCCTCTGCCCACACCCTTCCCTCTCCTTCCCAAGCAGAACACTGACAGGACTCCACCCTGAGCCTTTGGTTTGTAGCTTTGACAACCAGTTGTGGACTTTTGTTGCCTACAGGTGCTTGTTTGTAAAAGGGCCCTTTTTGAGTCCCACCCAAGCTCTACCCCATGGTACCCTGTGGACTGGGGATTTCCCACTGCAGTCCTGGCCCAGAATGGGGTGGGGTTCTCCTAATAACTGCTGTCTTACTGGACTTACCCCAGCCTTACATGAAGAGTATTCCATTAGAAGCTGTGGAGGAGGAGGAACGATGATGGACAGGTTTCCAGGAGCCAGAAACAAAGCTTCCTCAGAGCAGTGGACAACAGACCAGAGCAAAGGCCTGTGGCCCTGCTTGAGATCACTCTCCCTACCCCGTGAAAGTGTACAGCAGCAGGAATTGATCTCTTAAGTGGAAAAAAATGGCATCAAAGCCATTTCTGACATAGTGTCTATGGGTTAGTACTTGGTGCTATGTCCAGCCTGTTTGCTATTTATTGGCCCTTGAATTCTGGCTAATTTGTTAAGTGTGGGTTTTAGGTGGGTATACAAATGTATTACATTTTTGTTTTGTTTTGTTGCCAAAAACAAGCCTTCCTGACAATGATTGCTAAAGCAGGCTTCACTTAAAATACATGTGCACACTCCCTGTGCTTAGCCATTTGCGTTCTTTCCCAGTGAGCACAGCTTTGAGACTGAGGGGGATAACTACAAATGGCCTCTTTGGCTTTCCAGTGATTTCCTGTAGCCAAGCTTAAAGGGAGTGTCTGAAATTCCTATCATTCCCACCAGCCCTTCCTTTAGCCTCTTCTCTTTCACGTTAAACTCCTGCCATTTGTTGTTACCTAGTAATCACATTTATTTCTAAGCAAGCTAGCCAACTTGTGTGGAACCTCAGGTATCATTAAAGAAAAGCCAGAGCAGAGGGACAGATGTCCTCTCCCAGACGCAACAGCCCACAAGCAGCCTTGGCAGTGACCACAAATTGAATTCTGCCAGCTCAATAGACCTAGCTGACACCCCTTCCCCACCCTGCCCCTGCCACCACCACACAGGAGTGCTGCAGGGCATACTTTGTCCGAACCACCGGCCCTTTCCAGTCTGTCTCACTTCATCCTCAGTGGCTCATTCCTTTAGTGTTTGCAAGTTCAGAGTGCCCTCTCCTCTGGAGCCCTGCTGCAGTCAGTGTGTCTGCTGCCAGCCGCATCACATCCTCCTGTCCTAGGGACAGCTTACACAGCCTACTGCAGTTTAGGAGACTGCCACCAGTCAGCCTCCATGCCATCAAAAGCAAAATGACCTGCCTTTTTATTTGACAGTATAATATCATTTATTTTAATTTTTTTAGGATTATTTTTCTCACTGTAATATTATTGTACAGTTTTGCATGGCCTGGGTGTAATCATTTTTGTTTAGACTATGATGCTGACCAGTGTGTGTGTGGAAGGGAAGGCACTGCTTTGGCCTCTTATTACTCATTTGGTTTGGTTTCATCCTTTGATGTCTTAGGGAACTTCCTGAGAGAGTGTCTGCTACCAACTATGACGTGGATTCTTTTGCACAGAATTATTTAAGGTGGAATAGTCAAAACTGTAACAAAAAAATTCTCACCAATATTTTATGTTGGTGTCACCTAATTAACCAGACTTTGATGTACTGCAATAAAATAAGAAACTGTTAGGATGAGTATTTTGTCTTTTTTTTTCTCTATGTAAAGAGTATAAGGACTTCCTGGCTTGCTGGTCCCTCCTCCGGGCCTCTTCTTTATATACCCAGAGGACACAGGTCAGTTCATCCCTTGATTAAAAAATCCAGGACTTTTTAAGTTGCCCTCAGGGCTCAGGTAAGAATGCCTGCAAGTGTTCAGCTCTTTTCCTATAATAAGAATGTCTCAGTCATTGATTAAGATTCAAGGTTGTCTGTAGTATAGAGCTGGAAGCAACTTGATTGCACCTGTGGTAAGCAGTCGCTTAGAAACACTGGATCCATGTTCTGGTGCATTAGAATGATGAAGCTTGCACACAGGTAAGGCTGGGTGAAATCTTACCAAGAATGCCAAAACTGCAACTGAAGTCACTCAGACCTCTCGTAGACATTGGGACTCTTGCAGATGCACAAGTCACTGGGGGCCTCAAAGGCAGCATCTGCGGAGACCAGGACTTGGCCAACCTTCCAGAGAAATGGTCTGTGCCACATGGACGAGAACACCACTTTCCAGGAAAGGAAAGCTTCTTAAAAGGCACAGTGGGCCGTTTGTTGCAGAGGTGATAGTCAGGTCCCTAGTCAGGACAGACTTAGCATGAAGTTTAAGTGCACACTGTTTCTGTCCCAAGTCCTAGTCCCACTTCTTAGTGCCTGCTGTTCTATAGTCACTAAACCCAGAAGCTTGTTTTCTCTAAAATACCTGGTGGCTCAAACTTATGGTCCTAATTACTTGGGAGGCTAAGCAAGAGGATTACAAATTCAAGGCCTGCCTGAGTAATTTATTGAGATCCTGTCTCAAAAGTAAAAGGGCTGAGGGTCCAGCTCAGTGGTAGACCATTCATTTCACGTCTATAAGGCGTTGGGCTCAACCCCCAGTGCCAATGAAGCCCTGAGGTCAGAGACATGAACGCAAAGAAATTCTTAATGGTGGCCTATATTGCCACATTCTGTCCTTACCAAGAGCAACAGATGTTCTGGATCACAGACCTTTATAGGTAAAGCCCACTACCCAATGGGGCCACCTCATTCCCAGGATTCCCAGAACACATAGGAAATAGTAGTCCCCGACACACTTCTTTATTGAACAAAAGGGTGTGAATGTGATTACAAGACGTACAAACAAACAGAGCCTGTGCTGATCCCCGGTGCTGGCTACTACCTACCTCTCCTGGAACATGCTGGAGCCTGTGCTCCTCCAGTGACAGCCCTGCTTTGCTCTTGAGAAGGCTAGGGTGGCTGCCCTACTGTCCTGAGCTAGCGCCAGGCCACAGGCTGGGGTGGCAAAGGGCAGGGACACAACCTCACCCAGAAACACACGAAGCTTCATTCTACATGGCCAACTAGACCCCAAAGGTAGCTAGGCCGGCTTTAATCTTACTCTGCTGTGTGCCTGTGGACATCACAGCAGGGAGGAGACAGCAGAAGACGCCTGCCTTTTTGGCTAGACAGTACAGAAGTAAGAGTGAGGTCTCTGCTCACTTCCTACATGTGGAGGCTGTGGATCCTGCTCAACATCCTCCCTCTGCTTGACTGAGCCTGAAGGAGGGCACGGCCCCTAGTTAGCTTGGCCCATGGCTAGCCTACTGCAGTCCAGACTTCATCCTGAAGTAGTTACTGTAGGCTTCCTCAAACATAGCCTTGCAGGGGAAGCGGGCCTTCAGCTTGGAACAGATGAGGAAAGAACCACCCATCTTGCGGTGTAGAGAGTAGGTCTCCTCCGGTGGAGGGATGAGGCGGTGCTTCAGCATGATGGGGATCAGGTTATGGATCTTCTCAGTGGTGCTCTGCGTGCCGAAATCAAAGGGCTCTTCTGAAGCAAAGGCTTCCCCCAGGATGAGGATGGCATCCAGGTGGGCATCCTCCATGGCCTACATCAAGAGGAAGGACAGAGGTGACTAGGTCAGAAGCCCCAGCCCCAGGTCCTATCATAGTTTCCAATCTTAGAACCAAGTTTTCAGGCTGAAGGACATCAGAGAAGTGGTGACAGAATGGTTTTGGTTTTAATCAAACAATGGTAATAGGTTCGCCAAACCTCAAGAACCAGGCAGACACAAGACTCACTAACCCCCATGTGAGACAAGGGGGAGTGCAGAGCCGGCACTCCTCGGTATTCATTTCTGTCTACAAAGTTAACTACAGATCCCGCAGAGTAGGCAGGGCCCAGCCACCATAAGGGCATTGTGGGAACCTGCCTAGTTCCTAGCCACAGCAGTAGTCACCTGCCAGGCGCAGGATGCATGAGAAGAAACTGTCACCAGCAGGGCACTGAAGGGACGGGGCACCCAGGTGGGGACAAATCAGGGTTGCACACAGGAAGCAGGAGGTCAGCTTGGAATGTACTCCCACCCTGATGGTGCACTCCTACCAGAGGGTATGCACCCAGGGCAGAGAGGCTCAGCTCCCTGGTGGTTGCTGGGTGAGGAGGCTCTAAAGGCCGGGGTACTCTGCCCACTCAGGCAAGTCATCCCCTGCCTCTTAGCAGCCAGGGTGGGCAGGTGACACGAAGTGGTACACCTTAAGCCAAACAGTTCTGCTCGAGCCTACATACTTCCTAGAGAGTGCTGAGTTTTCAGAATGCTGGGCATGAGGAGGCCTCCAAGAGCCAGCTGGTGCTTAGGTACCGAGGAAAGACAGCCATGTCCACAGGGAGCTGGGCCTGGCCTCCCAGTGAGTCTGAGTGGTTTGCTCACCTTGACCTCATAGCCAGTGAGGAATTTCATCTCTATGGATTTCTTCAGCACTGCCTCCCTGTCCTGGTCAGCTGCAGCCCGGATGACCTGGGTAGAACAGAGAGGCTTCTGCCCTACCACGACCCTCTCATGTGCCTGCCAACCCTTGGCCTGGGATCCACACTTTCAGTCCCCAGCACTGACTCTTAGTCTCTGCAGTGCACAGGCCAAGGCCCCATTCCCGGTCTTACCTGAATGTAGAGGTCAGTGAAGGATCGGTCATATTCCCGAGTTGCCCCAAAGTCCAGGAGAGCCACCTGCAGATGGAGATACAACACTGTTCTGTCCTACTCTTGTGAGCACAGAGCAGAGAGAAGAGGAGCCCTGCAGGTCAGGTCTCCCGAGATGTCATGTGAGGCTCAGCTGGAGCTTACCTTGTGCTGCTGAGGGTCATAAAAGAAATTGGACCAGTTGGGGTCAGTCTGCATGACATGGAACTCAAACAGCTCCCTCAGGCACAGCACCAAAATGTTGTAGCAGATCTGGGGACAGGGTAGGAACCTGGGTCAGGCTGCACAGACTGCCTAGTGACGCACAAGTCTTTGCCTCCTGAATCCCACCCTAAAGATGCAGTCATCACCCCCTTGTCCAACCTCCCCAGGAAGGGCTTAGGGTCTCTGTTCACACTATTAGGTTCTCAGCACAACAGTTCAGCTTGAGCGCACCTCATTCCGGACTTCCTGGCTCAGCCCTTCTGCCTGGTCCAAGGGGAAGCCTGTTATTAGCTCGGTGGTCAGCACATGGGGACTGCATAGCTCATCCACAATCTCAGGCACATAGAAGAAGGGGTGGTCCTTCAGCAGCTCCCTGTGTAGAGGGGGAGCTCACAGCCAGTCTGGACCTCCACAGCCCCCAAGTGGAGAGCCCTCTCGGGAAATCTACTCTAAGTGGGGAGGATGTAGCCACAACCTGGCTCCAAGACCACCCATCCTTAAATACAGAGGAGCCTGTCCACACCAGTGCCCCCCATCCTCCTGGGGGCCCCAAAAGAGCCATACCTGAACTTCTTGGCATAGGCAGCTTCCCGCTGGTAGTCACACTCAAGGGCAAGCTCCCGCCTCAGTACATCAATCAGGTGCTCAGGGAACAGGCCTGTGCAGGAAAGGGTATGACGTAGAACGGGGCTCTGTAGGACTATCCCCTGGCATTTCCAGAGCCCAACCCCCCACCTCATGCCTGTAGCCCAGCCTGACCTTCTGGAAGCATGTTACTCATGTTCAGCACAGCCATGAGGTTGTTGACGTCACTATTAATGCTCTGAGCCACACCAGGGTACTGAAAAGAGGGAAGGGAGGTACGTGGGGAGGCAGTAGAGCATGCTGTCCCTGCCCATTAGCTTCCCGGCCATTTGTGGCCAGATCCCTGAATGAAAGAGCCGAGACTAAACAAGGTTGCCATGACCCTACCTAGCTCCACCCTGCTCTCCATTTCTCCTTATTCTGCCCCCGGAAAAAGCCACTGGTTCCAGCACAGTCCCTAAAGCTCATCCTGCACTGAGACTGCTGGGAAAAGCTTCATCCCCTGACTCTTCACCTAGCAAACTTTGCCTAGCCCCAGGTGCTAAGGACAGAGAGCCAGTGTCTCAGGAGACATGGAAAAAGCCCCACCCTCTGAAATCTTGTGAGGACAGGCACACACCACACAGAGCCATCTACCTGGATCTTCATGGCCACCTCACGGCCACCCTTCATGCGGGCCAGGTGCACCTGCCCTATGGAGGCAGCCGCAAAGGGCCGCTCCTCAAAGTACTCCAGCTTGTCCCTCCACTGGGGGCCCAGGTCATTGTTGAGGGTTTTCTGGAAAGAGGCCATGGAAGACAGGAGCACAACCTGGTTATCTAGGGTACCCTGATATATACCCAACTTGGTCCTTAGATCCCCAGGATCGAGTTCTACTTCCCCACCCCACACCCCTCCTGCAAACCTCACCGTCATCTGCTTCAGTGGCATGAAGTCGGCACTCTGCCGAACCCGCTCAAAGATCTTGGCCAGGTGAGGGTTGATGAAGGCATCATCTAGAAGACAAGGGAGGTCAGAGTGGGGCTTCCATTAGAGGGACACACACAGGCCAATAGGACTGCCCAGGTACCACTGACAGTGTGGCCTCCTGGGTAGGGCCTTCCCTCACTCTGGGACCTGAAGCTCAGACACAGTGACAGACCCAGCCTCAGCTTCCTCCTGGCACGCTGACTCCAGACTGGGACTCTAGGTGGGGCAGGGGAGTCTTTTGTGCTGGAATGGGCACTAGTAAAGG